AGCTCTTAGCAGGACTCAGGATTAATTTGTAATTGTTCTGGTTTCTTAATGCTTTAGAAAGATTTTTATCTAAATCAAATGAGGGGGAATTTTCTAATTAAACAAAACGCCAAGCAAAACAATCCCCCTGTTGCGGAGGTTTACTTCAGAGTTATTTGGTTTTTATCATTCTGTAAATATCTAAATAAGGTTCTAATTTAAAAAATAAATAAAAATAGATCTTTCAATTCACATAATTAATTTTCTATTCACAGCGTTTGCCTAATTACATGCCTTGAAAATGAAAATCTTATTTAGGCATTCTGGAAACTTTTGGGAAGATCTTGTACACTAATCTTTTCCAAATATCATCAAGTTGTGGTTTTTAGAACAGTTGCTAAAGCAGCTCGGATAATTAATTGATATTTTGGAATCATGTCAGTCATGTCTGGAGCTATTTGAGGTGTATTTGAAATTTAACAGGTGTATATATATATATATCTAGCTGATGTAACCTAAAAATATTCACATGAAACTTCACATTTGGGTGACTTACGGTTTGTTTTGTCTATGTGTGTGTGCTGTAGCAGTAAATAATCAGTAAAGCTTAGCAGGAAAGAGGGGAAGATTGTGAAATGTGTTAGGATTTCATTAATGCTATCTGTTTTGAATGCAGCATTGGCTGAGATGACTATCTTAATCTGATTCGGCTACTGGGGCCAGATCACCCTGCCATGGACACAGACCCTCGGGCCTACCAGACGAGCCTGGCCCCTCATGCTCGTGTTTGTGTGGACTGTAGGGTGTGTGACAGTCTCTCTTGAGTTTTGTACTACCTTTATTCATTCCGAAGTGAATGCTATTGGGAATGATCAGCCAGGCTAAAGAAGAAGCAGGTTCTGTTTAGTTTTCATTAGATTTTATTTAGTGCTCTGAAGAAAATAAATCATGTGAAAATAATTTTCATAAAGTTCATGAAATATTTGAGATAATTTATTAGAATTGTTTATATAATTTGTTTTTTATTTGCTAACTTTTTTTATTATTTGTATTTTACAAATGCCAATTTCTGTGTAATATAAATGTTTTCTAGATGTAGTATATTATATAGAATTGCACAAAACCATTCAGTCCTTTAAAATAATATTGTTTTAGTGCAGATATATACACTTGTACAAAAAACAATATTTCTATAATTAATAAATTAAAATGTATTACATTTATTTAGCAGAAAAAAAAATATTCAACCACACAAAGGGATGCAGCCAGACATCAAAATGCCATATTTTGGGGTTAAAAAGTCACTACATTCAATATATCTGTGAAACTTTAGTACTATGGAGATTTTTTATTTTTTTTTAAACTGTAAACTGTATGAATTGTGGCATTTTTAACTGTGATCTTCAGGGTTGTTATAGTAAACTAAAGCTGAAACTAAAATTAAAACCATTAAAACAAAATTGTTCCTTGAAATAAAATAAACTTTAACTGAAAAAAAAATTTTAATATAAAAAATGATTTCAGCTAGTTTTCAAGGCAACATTTCTCATTTTAATTTAGTTTAACTTGATGTACAAACTAAAACTGAAATAAAATGAATAAAAACTATATAGACATTTTAAAAAAAATACTACTACAAATGGCAAAAACAACGACAATTACAAAAACGTATATATTAAAATGAAGATGGATAATATAAAAATTAAAACTCATTCAAAATAATAATAAAAACTATAATAGTATCTCAATGATGCTAAAATAGCGGTGGTGATTTCACATGACCTTAAGTTAGATGAATCTAAATTAAAAAGAAAAAAACTGCAAGTTTGTTTTTCACTTTTTTTTCTTTTTTGCAATTTCAGGACATCAGTTATTTAGGTCGTCCCCAGCAAATGTCATAGTTTAAGTGTTGGCACTGTAGAATGTATTTATGTGCGTGTTATTTGTTTTAGTAGTAAAGCGAGGACTTCTTTCATGCTGTCAGGGCTCTGTCAGTGCTGAAGCTCCGGCAATGGCCTCCGGGATGCGGCTGCTAATCCGTCATTCCCTTACAATGTCACACAAGCTTAATATTACCATTTATTATTTGCTTGTTTCATTTGACTGTGCGTTGCTACAGTGACCTGTCACTGCATACTTTATCCCTTCCGAGCTGCACTATTTAAAAGTTGACTACAATAATCCAGGCTTGATTCCTAAATCCCGGACCCCCTCTTTTTATCCCTCCCTTCTACTCTGCGTTGTCGTCAAATACAGAATTTCACACATCTGGCACTGGCAGACATGAGAGTGGCTCCCCCGATGGAGGGCCGGGGAGTTTTGGTGGGGGTGAGTGACAGGGCCGTCGTCCCACCGGGGGCTGCCGCTGGCTTTGTTGTGGCTAGCGGGTTTGTCTCTCTCACATGACCAGCGTCACAGTCACATGGTGCCAAGCAACAGCATGATGGAAAAAAGATCCGAGGCGCAAGTTCCCACGTCAGACTCTTTTTGAAGGACCGCCCTTTGTCACCCCACCTCGTCCTCGTAATGGCTCTGTGCACACAGACAGATGCACACACTGTCATACTGCTTGTTTTTGAAACTGATCCAGTCCTGGCTTCTGATTGGTCAGTACGGCATTCTAGTTGTGCTGAAATTCACAATATAGTAACATCTATGACATGAAACACCTGTTCACCATTTCATTACACTGTACCCATTTTTGTTGCATAGTGACTATATCTTCTAGCCAAAAAGATATAGTCTTTAGATTTTACAAAAAATTTGGTTTTATTTTTATTTTTAATATATAGTAATAAGCATATAAACACTTAAGATCATGCAGTAATTGAATATAATCATGACTGAAGAAGTTGCAAATACTTCACTGCTCTATATTCACAAGGCTTCTCATACCTTTTTGGTTTAATAACCTCATTTGACAGTATAATATGACTGTAAATATTAAGTATAATTGTCTTAGTGTAAGACAGACAATTAAATGCACATCAAGGGTATCCAAGATCACTCAAATGCACATTTTTATTTAATGGTGTGGCACTGTAATTCTCATCTTAAGATCTACAGAAGTTGATCTTAAAGTCCTCACATTTGTAAAAAGAGCGAGCGTGTTTGTGTACTGATGCTAATTCTGTTGTTGATGCTGTCAGGAACAGACAGGTATCACAGATGCACAGAGTAGGTGATGTGATTACATAAGCTTAAAGGCTCTTTCATCTTTTCTCCTCTTTCATCCCTCTTCAAAGACATAATTAGTGTCACAAAAATGCTCAGAATACTGACATCGGAGTCATTCTTCCTGAACCCACTTAACCGGTTTACCCCACAGCCCAAACTACCAAACCCTATAGTGTCTGCTTTCCTTTGATACCTGCTGAGGTCAAATAAAGTTTTGAATTGAGATGGCATCGCTTAGTCAGACAAAAACAACAAAACGTGAAATCTTTATCTCTCATGGCATTATTAACTTTCTGCCATGAAACTACTCTACTTTTCAAATGTTTTGGGTCGGTACGATTTTTTAAATGTATTTAATAGCTGCATTTATTTGATCCAAAATACAGTACAAACACTAATATTGTAAAATAATATTACAATTTAAAAATAACTGAAAAATGAAATGAAAAATAAAATGTATTCATTATTTCCTGTAATGGTAAAGCTGAATTTTTAGCAGTCATTACTTCTTCTGTCCTCAGTGTCACATGATCCTTCAGAAATCATACTAATAGTCTGGTTTGGTGCTCAAGAAGCATTTGTATGATCATTGTTAAAGGGGTCATATGATGCGATTTCATTTTTTCCTTTCTCTTTCATATGACCCCTTTAAAAACAGTTGTGCTGCTTAATATTTTTGTGGAAACCGTGATGCATACTTGGAATAGATAGTTCAAAAGAGCAGCATTCGTTTGAAATAGATTTTTTGTAACATAAAAGTCTTTGCTGTCTTTTTTTGATCGATTTATTGCATTCTTGTTGAATAAAAAAAAAAATCTTACTGATCCCAAACTTTCAAACATTACTGTACATTGCACTCCAGATATGCAGATACATATACACTCACTCATGAGTCAGTGAATTTGAACAGCTGATTTTTACCAGGAAAATTAAACGGATTAATTGAGTTTATTAGCTGTCACTTGAGCAATGGGAGGGCCCCTACCTGTAGTTTCCGACTATGTAAGTTCTGCATCCGCACATGTAGGCCTCGGGCACAGGACATGTTCTTTTGGATGTACATCAGATCTGAAGCTCTGAGGCTTCACAAAGACCAGCCTGCATTAATCCTGCTCTAATCCAGAAGCATCTCTGTTTTACTGACAATGGCAGTACCTTGTGAAGTGTCTAATATGTACAGTAGGTAGTGAACACACATCTGGATGGCTTCCTAACATGCGTGTCAGTCTGCGATGTTGAGAAAAGCCTGTCAGATAATCTCGTTTGATGCACTTTATACTGGTTAGAGGAGTGAGAAAAGTGCTTAACTTATTCATGCCAGAGAAAGTCGGTCAAAAGTCTGTGTGTGTGAGTGTTTCTATCTGTTGAGGTGTCTGTTTAAAGAACTGGGTGAGACTTTGGAAATTAAATTGTTTTATGGAGGTTTAACTGGCAGGAACTTGAATGGTTGGCTAATTATTATCTGCAGACATATAGCATGCCTGGGTAATTAGTGAGAATTTTTGACTATATACAAAAATAATCTGTTATTTAATCTCATGATTAATCTCATGATGGAATGGTAAAAATGTTCAATTCTGTACTTTTATTTTATTTAATGTTATTTATTTTATTTCAAGATAATTTAAGATATTTCCAGATATTTTAAGGTATTTTATTTTATTTTAAGGTTGTTGTTGTTTTTTTGTTTTTTTTTATGCAGGCCTAGCACCGATTTATGGCCCACTGGGGGTCCCCAGACCTCATTTAAAAAACCCTGCATCACATCAATGTTTTTTTAATATGATAAGAATGTTATAATAAAGTTTTACATGCTAAGGTTTTCTGTGTATGTGTGTCTTCAGGGAATAATAAGGAAGAGGAAGAATCCATGATGCAGGAATGGTTTACGCTTGTCAACAAGAAAAACGCTCTGATCCGCCGACAGAACCAGCTCTCTCTGCTGTGAGTTCATGTTTACCCTTTCTCTCTTTCTCCAACCCTTACCAATGGAAGCGGTAGTCTCTGAGCACACACACCTATAATATGTTGAGACCCATACTTGAAATGATTTTCCCAGGAGACCTGAGCCCAGTCAGAAGGTCGGGCCCCTCATTCACTTCCACCCCTCCCACAGCGGCCCTCCACCGTAAAGCAGACAAAACGGCAAATCAGTACGGACGCGTCTGCAATAATGTGATTTCAAAGACTGTATTATTCCACCCATTATGAGAATTGGATCAACCAAAAAAAAAGAAGAATTGAAAAAATGACTTCATTCATCTAATAACATATTGATGAACTAGTACAACTTGCCCAGGGAGAAGGAACACGATCTGGAGAGACGCTTTGAGCTGCTGAACCGAGAATTAAGGGCAGTGCTGGCGATTGAAGGTAAGATGGAGTGAAAGAGGGATTTGGGGGTGAATTTGTGAGGCGCTCTGTGAAAGGCAAAGATCCTCTCCTGCTTAATTAAACCTGCTCTTTGACACCTCAGATGTGGCTCCGCCCACCCAGCCCTGATTTGATAGCGCTGCCAATTGTTTTAGCTCCCTTTATTAATGTAGATCTTACAAATTCACCCTTGGATTGGACACAATATATATGATTTACTCTCTGAACCGCAAGTATTACAGCCAAAAGTGCAGATGTCACTTCCCCGTCAATATTAAATCTCTGTGATGTGCCTCGGTGTGTCAAAGAACGCACTCGCGTTTATAAGCTTTTTGAGTGTGTGTTATACAGACAGGTAAGGAAAGTAAAAAATAAAGCCTATTGTGCGGTATCAAAGTTGTCTGGTTAAGTTTAATCCCTTTAACTGTGTCCTCTTTCGCAAAATGAACCTTTTACAATCAATGCAAATTGATTTTACAATTCGATGGTGACCCTCTCACCCCTTGGCTAGCCATGGTAATTTCTTTCTGCACCTGATAAGCTAGCTGATCCATCATAAATCAATTCTAATTAGTTCGGAGAGGTTGACAGTGGACATGAATAGCCAAGCAGAGAGCATAGCTCCCCATATTGTGATGCTCCCCGTATTCGCCACATGCTTTCTCACCTCCAGGGCTTCACCGTGGCAGATCAACATGGTTCATCTCAATATTTTGACATGCTTCTGTCTTGTTTCTGAAAGATTCCTCCACGCTGAGAGACGCCATGATACTGAACGCTAAATGCTAAGCCCGATAACAAGAATTTAAGCTAATAACGTTCAGATGTTGAAGTGCCTCAGCCTTGTGTCCACTTATCAGTGAACATGGAGTGAGTTCCAAATATTGGTCTGGATGTGCAAGGGTGACGGGGTCCGTCCACGGCAGTGGTAATTCAGTCCCTGCTGCTTGTAACAACCCTATCAGTCCACACACTGCTACCTGTTGAATTATCACTCGCAGTTATTTTCTCTCTCTCTCACTTTATCTCCCTTGCTCCCTCTCTCTCTCTCTTTCTCCCATGAGGCTCAGCACTTGGCATTCAGAGTCAGGGTGTTTCTGAAGCAAGTCAGAGATAGTTCTGAGCTGCTGGTGAGGAGGTCCGTGTCTTATTTGGAGCCCCAACGGGCTCTCACGCCCAGCCAATGCAGACAGGTAATTGCTGATTTGCTTGGTCAGCTGATGACATTGGAAGTGTAGCGGCTGAGGCGTTCAGACAGGCACACACACACACACACACACACTCTTTCTCATATATCAGTGCACACTCTCTTGCTGATAGAGAAAAATACTCACCCTCCTTGACCCCACGACTGTGCAGAGGAGAATCTACAGTCACTGTGGCCTGGAGATGAGTAATATCGAAGCCTCATATAGATGTCATGGAGAGGTTTGAGTAACATTTAGAGCATTTTACATGTCTTTTTTTTCACAAAATGTCAACAACTATTTGATTTCTCCATTCTAAGTGTCCTAAATGTTTTCATGCTGACTGCTAAAATAAGTGCACAGCAACTGAGGTGGCAAACAGGATGCAGAATTGAGTTTTGAATTTACATTTGAGTATAAAGTACAATTAAAAGGAGTACATATAACTAATTTTTAACTAGAAAAGCCATAGTTTAGCAAGACAAACTTTAAATTTTAGTTCAGCGAAGCCTTATTTAAATTTTTTTAAAGCATTTGAAGGTTTTATAGATAGATAGATTATCCCATCCCTGACTAGCATGACATATGGAACAACCTTTGTCAGTTGGATCAGTTTGCTCTGTTTTAAATAAATATTAATACTGTAGATATCATTACTCACTGATTTAAATTCAGGTACACTTGTTGCCTGTTGCATTACACACTATTAGATCTGAAGCCTGTGGACACCAGAAAGGAAAATAAAATATTTTAGAAATTATAAAGGCAGGTTGAAAAGACGGGAAGGATTCGGTTATAGGTGTAGAGCAAACAGGGTGAGTGTTAATGTCAGCTAAACGATAACCCCTTCAGTCTGTGCTCCGCTGTGGGGAGGCAAAGAAAAGTGGCGAGGCCTTCCACAATATGCCATGACTCCTATTTCTCTGCTTCTAAATTGATCCTTTTTGCCCTTTTTATCTGCCTGCCATGCACACACGCTTTCTCTCAAATTCGTCTTTTTTCCCCCTCCCCTCTCCCTATTTCTTTCTTTCCTCAAATGCGGTGCACTCCGGGGCGTTATATTTGAAAGTGGACGCTCCTTTTTGCCGAGGGATTTCTGCATAGGTCCCCCAGTTTTGTTGTTACGGTTTTATATGATAAGCTTTTTTATATGTTTAAAATCAATATGTAATCCTGTGCAAGGGCTTATCCCCCTACAACCCCATTTGTAAATCTATTTGAGCTTTGTTACATGTCTGGGCTGCCGTATTCCTCAGATTGATTGGGTGCAGTGTGAGAATCCTATCAAATGGCCGGCTTTGATGATGTTGCAAACTCTTTCAAGATTGCTAGTTGACTGGAACTGGAGATAAGGCGAGACGACACTTTCTCATTCTACACTATTCACTGAAATCTGTATTCATTTCCATTTAGCTGTCGCTTTCTGCATTTGACTCTCAATGTCCACTTTTATATTACTGCACCTAATAGATGATTGTATTTGTGTAGTCGGCTGTTTCCTGCATTTAGAATTTCTTAAAACCATTTGGATTTAAGTGATAATTATCTGTATTTGGCAGTAGTTGATATCATAAATGATATCCTGTATAATTTTACTTAAATGCTTTACAGGTTGTTTTTCCTCAGCATTTTAACCTTGCGTAGTTGAATTTTTTTCCCATTTCTCAAAAACCAAATTAGTTGCATCACTCATATGCATGCACAAAAACACAAGATGCAGATTAGTGATTCAAACATTTAGACAAAGACATTGTGTATTTGGTTTGTTTTTGATAGTCACTTTATTTGTATCTGATATAGCAGATGGGAGATGTAGTTTGGGGATAGCGTGGTAAGAATCCAGGAACTGTTGTCCCGTCATCCTCCTTGTCATGGTTTTCCATGTTGGTCTTTGTCTCATTCCCAGCTGGCTTCTCTCCAGCTCCATCTTACGCCGGAGCTCCCAGCCTGCCCAGGACTCGCCCAAATCTGCTGTAATAAGATCATGCATTTTTCCCTGGATTCCTCCAACACTACATATTTCCTCTTATTTCCTCCGAAAAAAGTTGTAACCAAAAAAACTCTCCATTCTGTCCAAAAGTTTGCTTCGTGTGTCCATACACTAAAGCGAGCAGAGCATGTGTGTGAAGTTTGTGTTTAGTGATATTTCAGCAGAACTCTCAGAAGAAGCTCTGTGCCTCCTGAAGCTGCCGAGCAGGTTGCGCTCTTGAATAAATTTTGCTGTGGAGGAGGGTCATGGGGATTTGAACCAGCGCATTCTTCTGTGGGTTGTGAGTGCTCACATGGTTACCATTGGTGTGCATTGTTAGGGTTATCTGAATAAGCACCAACCATGTGAGTTTTAATGTGATTGCCCAGGGCAATGAGAGAGAGAGAGAGAGAGAGAGAAAGAGGGGAGTAATCCAAAAAGGATTGACCCCCCCACCAACACCACCATCTCCATCTCCAAATAGCCTTCATCCATCACTTCTTTGAGGAACAGCGAGAAGAAGGAGGCAGCAGCTTCCGTTAGTGTTTTTTGGCACGCCGCAATCGCTCGTTTACTCTGCCGTGTCCCTCTGCGTCCATATTCATTGTTTACCTTCTTAATGAGGGAGGCGGTGCCACTCCCGCTTGATTGACAGCTGCATGCGGCCTCTGCCGGAGGTGCAGGGGAGGATCTGTGGCTTTTTGGCTGAGAATGCTGAAGGGGAACAGGAGGAGGAGGTAAAGAGTTGAGGGGCTTTTTCTCTCTCTCTACCTCTTTGGGACATGCAGGAGAAGTTTTTGTTGGTCGTAGCCTACCCTCCAGGCAGGTCTTTGTGAAGTAGGCATTGTCGTTTTTGACAGAGGGGTAGCAGAAACGACAGAGCGAATTAAAAGGAGAGTCGTGAAAGACAGAACGTATGGAGAGCGATGCAGGATAAACAGTCTGGCCTGTAGGATGTTAAATGCGGTCAGCACTGTGGGCACACAGGAAACGACCGGCCTGTGTTGCGTTGCTAGTATAACAGAAAATTCAAATTCATATTTGTTTGTTTTTCACTAAATTGCTTTTTAAAGTACAAAATCCCCCTTTTTCATTTTCCTTCCTGCAGCTTTTAAAATTCTGCAAATTTGTTAAAGCTGAGACAAATCCTCTCAAATATTTAGCATTAGCCTCTCTGAACACCAAAGACTTTCATTTAGCTGCTGGGGGCCAAATAACTTTCAAATATTGGAACTGTGTTCATTTTGCCACTGTGCTTCACTTCAAAGCCAAAGAGGTTAAACGAGAGCAAGGAGCAGGGCTTTTAGGACCAACGGCGCTCTCAGCACCACACTGCAATTTCTCACAACTGCAACAGAAATATTTAATTCTAATGAAATACACTTCTTTTAAGGGTAGACTTTTCAGAATGTCGAATGTGTCAAAATTAGTCTCCCTATAACAAGAGAAGTTGATTTTGTGTGTGTGTTTTTGTGAGTCTGTGTGCATGAGGGAGCACTAATAAAGCAGTGTAAAGACACTAGTACAGTCTGTTCTTACAGCAGGCTGAAGAATAGGCCCGGCAAGATAACTTCCCCTTGGCTGTGAGCAGGGCCCTAATCTGCACTGGTATCAGTAAGGCCTGATCTCGTCTGCCTGGCTGATATTTCAGACCCGTTGTTGGCAGGGAGACAGGAGCAGGTCACCTCACAGAGACCTTCGCTATAGTCAAACACCTTTTAAACTTTGGATTTATGTCATTTGTTTTCAGAAACCACATATGGACTTAAACATTTAAGTCCTTTTTTTCCAGATTATGGAACTGTAATTAAGTGAAAAAAATCTGAATTCTAATGTATTTATATGTGATTCAATCTTAGAAATGGCATCAGTGTGTCTCTTCGGGAGCCGTTTTGAGGCGTCTGAAAGCAGTTAGTGTACTCAATGTACTGTCCTCGCATTCACTCATGTTATCAGATCCTTTCTGTCTGAATTCCACCATGTGGCTGCTCTCCATACATACCCACCTGTGGGTGCCCTGGTACAACTTCACAATAACTCAACAACATTACGGTCTACATTTTCTTTTTCTGAATATTTGATCACGGGACTGTGATGTCTTTGTCACTAAGAGCCAGTATATGATGTCTGTCTTTAAAGGGATAGTTCAACCAACAATGACAATTCTGGCATCATTCCCTCGCCCTCATGTCATTCCAAACCTGTATGACTTTTTTTTTTGTGGAACACAAAATATGATATTTTGAAAGTCAATGGAGCCCAATGGGTTTCATTGTATGGACACAAAAAACAGCTATTTTTCAAATTAGGAATGACATGAGGGTGAGTAAATGATGAAAGAACTGTAATTTTTCGGATGAACTATCCCCTTAAGTCTTGTTTCCAGGATTCCATGTTTCCTTTCCATCTTCCAGACTGGCAGAAGACGGAGGCGCAAAAACGCAGAGAGCAGCTGCTGCTGGATGAGCTAGTCATACTGGTCAACAAACGTGACGCACTGGTTCGAGACCTAGATGCCCAGGAGAAAGAGTAAGTCTTCCTGTTGCAAGGCATTGTGGGATTGTCAGAGCCAGGATTAGTCCTCCAGGCCCTATAGCGTGGTTCAGAGAGGGTTTTAAAGGCCAAAGTTTGCAGTCACCCACATTCTCTTTGCCACCAAGCATGTTTAGGTGGTTTGTGGGGGGGATGGAGTCAGGCAGAGAGGCCTTGTGAATATTTCAAGAGCCAAAATGACTCTGAAGCTGTTCAGACACAGTACAGGTCATTGGTGGCGGAGGTGCAGGTGGCATTCTCCTGTGTCCTTGTCCATGACCTTTGGTCCTGTGTGTGTGTGTGTGTGTGTGTGTGTGTGTGTGTGTGTGTGTGTGTGTGTGTCGGCAGGGCTGAGGAGGAAGACGAACACCTGGAGAGAACCCTGGAACAGAACAAAGGCAAGATGGCAAAGAAAGAGGAGAAGTGTGTTCTTCAGTGATGGTCATTTCCCAAGCAAAAAAGGAGCAAGATGACATGTACATTACAGAGTCTTGAAATGTATTTTTGTCATAGAGACCACAGCATACACTTTATTATTGTTGTTTTAAATCTTCATATGTAGATCTGTTTGTTATCATTAAGGGCTTAAGAACTGCTGAATGCCCTGGGATGCATCCTGTTTTATTAATGCCTGAGAGATTTATTATTTCACATAAACAAATACAAAAACTTTATTATTATTATTAGGTTTGCTCTGTTGGATTTCACAAACAAGGTACTTAAGGAACTAATATTTGAGGAGATGCAAAGCTGTACAATTTTGAAAACTTTCTGACTAAATGGTTAAATCCATTCTAATTCTTGATTAATCTGAACACTAAGGCATTCAAAGCCTTCCGAATGCGTTTCAATTTCTTACAGGAAATTATAACTCAAAGTTTCGGTACAGCATTTAAACTGGGGACATTTCCTGTTTGTGAATAGGATTTCGTTTCAAAATCATATCACATTTCAGTTTTAAGAAAATCTGTCAACATTCTCCTCTAACAAGAACTGAAATGTTTTAATTACTCAACTTTATACGTATAGAATATTTGAGAAGGGGGACTCAAATATTGTTTTGTTTTCAAAAATATATTTTGTGTTTTTTGTTGAATATGTTTACCAAACATTGAGCTTGCTTTAGTGAGAAGAATGAAATACTGCAAGTGCATATAGAAAAATAAACGGTCATGTTGTACATTTCATTTCACCGTTGGAGGCTTGGAAAAAAACTTTCTTTTCAGAAGCAGTCACGATCAGTGTAATTTATTACTGTTTGCTTTTATTACTGTTTAAGACGTTTTTAACGTAACCATCTTCACAATCCTGTACATTTGCTTAAGGACTTTAATATTTATTGTATAGTTAGAAGGGAGGATTTTCTTGTCCGCATATTTACGTTCACGTCTTTATTGTATTAGCATCAGCGGTTTATTTATTCCACTGTACTATAAATATCACTGTTAAATAAAATCCAAATTATTTCATACTCGAATCAAACAGCAGCTCGTGTGGTTTTGGGTGTTGCTGAAGGATTTGGCCTTGTGTTTCTACAGCAAATTTTGTGTCATCTTTATTCAGCTGATAGTGAATAAATGTATGATATAATTTTTTAAAACACATTTATTTCATTCTGTCGTTTATGCAATTCTGTTCGATTTTATTTAAATTGTCCGAATAATTGCATATTTTTTCTGTCATTATTACATAGATATACCCTATTATGTTTGGCCTACTGGTTTAATAATCACTTGAATATATGTTTTTCATCAGGTTCTGACTGTACTGACGTTTCAGACAATCGTTTCTTTTAATAAAACTTTATGAAGCCGCACTTTGACGAAACACTACGGACGTTATTTTTTTTCAATTAAAACCATTTACAGGCAATCGAGGGACTGCGAAAATTCCCCTGCGTTTTACGGTTATTTCTAAATGAATGTTTGCGTTTTGTTTTGTTTGAGGTCGTTCCTTAGAGGGAGATTAAGGCAGAATCACTCTGTCCAGAGCATCTGTTTTCCCTCAGACACTTCATTCTCAGCCAAACATCCATCACCGCAGCCTCGCATCCTCCATTTAACGAGCAAAATAAGTTTTGACAGCTGACGTCCTCCCTTAGTTCTTCTTTCTTTCTAATACTTTTACATTCATTTGCTGATGGTTGGGTCCAACTGTAGTCCTCCGTTCCCCCACCCCCGGGCGTTTTGTTTTTGTTTTTATTATTTTGCAGTTATCACAGATGACTGTAATCTTCTGAATAGTAGACACTTATTGGCGCTCACAAACCATTACATGGCGACAGAAAGGACGTTTGTTTGTTGCCTTTACTAATCGGAGAGTTTGAGCCTGTGAGTCGCTTGAAACGCATGTCATAATTTTATGCATTAGACCTGTGGTGGGCTCCGTGTAATCCCGATGAGACGGTAGCGTGGTGTTCATATCTAAAAAATGACCGCTTTGAACTGTTTTGCTGTCCATTCAGATGCCTAATTTAATCCAAGATGTGTTTCTATACATCTGATTTGTCCCAGTAAAACGTGAGATGGAGTATTAATATTTTACTTTTGGAAAACGCTTAAAGTAACTGTCTTTTTATTGCACTTTTTATGAGTAGCCTATCTGTTCAAAGCGCTTTTTTTTTGTAAAAATAAATTAAATATATAAATTCAATTTCATGATGAAAATATTTCATGCATTTGGGCTTTCTTACATTATATTAGAACTCATTTAATGTTCTGTTTCAGATACGCAACTATAAGAAAGTTTAGATACCTCTGGCATTTTCTGTGCATTTCACTAATACAAACAAATATAAAGATTAAAAATAATAATAATAAACACGTGATCTGGGTCGTTCTAGTTCACATTCACATGCAGTAGCATTGTCAAAATGCACAATTAATTCCCTTACCTGATCGTTGATATTTGTTTTCAGGCTCAAACCAACAGTATGTTTAGTGGGGGAAAAAAAGCCTTTTAAAATAGATATTCTTATAAAAAAAAGGAGCTCTCCAAAACGGTGCTAAAAGTAGAGCATCTCAGCGCGAGCAGAGATGCGCGAGTCCCAGAGCGCGTTCTGTGGATCCAGCTGCTTGGAGTCCACGGCCTGACTTCAGGTGTTGTGCTGTTGGACTTCACGAAGCCCCTCGACCGCCGAAAATACTTCCCTCGTCCTAAAATACACCGGGGGAATCGGTACCGAGCCTTCTGTACGAGCTTCAATATCGTATTTTATGCATCGTCGTTTTAATAAGGACCGACAACATCGCCGACCCGCTCCCATCCTGCCGGCTAAAGAAACCAAACTTTTCCCCCTCCTCTTCTCGCCTCCTCTAATCCCGAGATTTACGAGCTCAGCATTTAGAAAATTCGGCTGCAATTTGGGATTAGACAAAATACTCTTATTACAAAAGCTTCTTGCAACCTGATAACTTGATACTTGTTCTGGCTTTATCACGGGTCTTAGCAACATCAGGGCCGAGAGATTAAATAGCAAACGGACAAAATGCAGGAATTGTATATATTTATATTGTGTGCATTTGGGATCACATTTTGTTATTATTATCCGTGTAAATAGTTTAAGAACAGGTGGAATCGGCCTTTTTGGGGGCCTGGTGCCAACACTTGTGCTTTAAACAGGCAGTATAAACATTTAATATACGCATTCCATACTTCTATGCAGTATCCAATAACTTTCCCTTTAGTTTTTTCGCGTCTATTGACGGCTAACAGCGGCATCTCTGTTACTCCCAAGAGTAGGCTACTTTTGTCGATGAATTTGTTGATCTATAGAAGAACGTGTAAAGCCGCCCGGCCTTTGATTGGATGCCCCATATAGTAAAAATGTAATTACGTTCCTCCGGCGGTCACTTGCTTTGAACATTAGGTCGCTTTCAGCTCAGGCCTCAATTAGAATGAGTTGATTTTGTGAGATCAACAAAAGGACCGAGCGAAGCCTTATTAAGATCTTCTGAGCCTTTCAGAAACAGTTAAGGAAACACCGCGCCCTCCGTGATATTCTGTTACCGTATTTTATTGGCATTTCTTTGGGAAAGTGAGGCTTGAAAGGTGCTTTCTTTGATTCTCTGAGGCTCAGACTCTCTCTATGTGCTGATTTCGGTTTTTTTTTCTGGAAGGGCCGAGTTTTTCTTCACTCCCTTTCACGTTTCCTCTCCGTCTGCCTATTAAACTTTACGCACACTATTCTGAAATGTAATTCTAAGTGGGGATTAGCCACTCATTAATATTCATGAGGCGGGGTAACAATAAAAATGAAAATAGATAAAGTGTATAAATTAAACTTTTTTGCTGCATTTTACACCGCTTCAAATCGATGGACAACACGAATCGATCGCTAAAGGGAGTCTTAAATTCTGTATCAAACGATACTTTGTGAATTTGCGGTGGAATTTTTTGCGTGATGTCAGACATTTCAGTAAAGGCCTTGATGTCCTTTACTGCTTGGATTTTGGATAGGCATAGCTTTAATTATATTACACTGTTTAATTCACGTTGATCAATTTTGCATGAATTAAGATGAGTTTTAGATGAATTCATAAATTAATACTAGCCTATTTAAATGTGCGATAATGTCATATTTGTCATTTTAATGTAAAAATGTTTATTTATTTATTTATTTATTTTTGGAAAACGCTTAAATAAAATACATTTCAAGACGCAAAACAGTTATAATTGTAATTAAGCTTTTAGACAAATATATTGTTTAGATTTTACACGACTTCCTGTGTCTGTCTATATCGCAATCGTTAAGTCTTTCGGTAAAATAGTATAATTTAAATGGTTTAGGCATAATATGTTTAAAGCTCACTCTATAGCCTACCTTAATTTTAAAACGACTTTTGTATGTGAAGCCCAGATTATAATATAGCCTATTTTCCACCTGTCTTCAATTTTAGGAAATGTTTAACTGTATTGTCTACAATTTTCTCTATATTTTAGGTCTTCTCGAAATTCTAAAGATTTACTTATACGGTGCTTGTTCTTGATGTCTTTAGTCAGCGCTGGGTGGGGCTTTAAGGATGTTCAACCCATGGACTGGCTGATACAGTTGTCAATCAAGCAGAGACTGCGCGGCGATTGGCTGGAGTGGGCGGATCTGCAGGTGTCCTACGCTCTTAGAGAGGCAGGGTTAGGAGAAGGTGATCAATCTCCATCCGTCTACATTAGCAATCACCTTAAACTAGTGACAGACACGAATGAGAAAGCCAAAGCAAACGAGTTTAATGTATTTGGTTTTAAACCCCGGGAACACACTCTGAATAGACTAGCCTACAACAAGTCCAGCTAAAGGCCAGACACGTGCGTCATATCAACATTGCTGCGTATCTGCAGCTTTGAGGAGAGTTTTAGACGACATTTATTTGGTGAGGTTCCTCGGTCGGTTTGCCTTTCTGAACTCTTGCATTGGTGGATATTTTTTTTTATCTTCTGGTCAGACTGCAAAAATTCAGGAGAGGAGAAGGACGGAGAGTTCTGGAAAAGGTAAAAACAATTGTGTCTTTTAATTTAGATTATTTTCTCTTTTTTTTTTGTTAACGTTTAACACTTTCACAAAACGGAACTAACACAAGTTTCAGTGTTAAAGTTTGTGTTAATATTGGCAAAACATTTGTTTTCTATGTAGATAAATGTGGTCCTCTTGAAAGGAGTGTGCACAAGTTTTTATTAGCCTATTATTATTATTATTATTGTTATTAATTTTATTTTTTGTTTCCTCCTATTCTGTGTACCGACGTCAGTATTGTTTTTAAGTTACGCTGTAAACAGTCTGGTAATTGTCATAATCGCTTAGAAGTAAATTAAATCTAAAAAAAAATAGCGACCCGTCTGTTTGAAACGAACGCGAGTAGTTTTGCAAAGATCAACTCATCACCGCAGTGTAAACCAGCTCAATTGGAGAGGCGTGTTTTGGTTTTTGTTAATTTATTTTGGTGATAAGGCCAAGAAATGAAGGTGTTTCCCCAGAGGTCTAATCTGCATTGTAATTGAGTTAATTTGCACGTATGTGTTCTTTCTAACTAGTCTTTACAGAGTAAAGAATAAGCAAGGAATAGATTGGAATACACAGAACTCTATAAGCGGTTCGGTTCTCTGAGCACGGGGCCCATCCACATTAATTTCCCCTATAGGTAACCAGTCGTCTCCTAAATTTAGTTAAACATTGAATGACCAACAAACTAGTACAACGCGTTAATAAAGATTAATGCCCCCCCTTTTTTTATTTTATTTGTGTGATGATATATAGGCTAGTTTAACAATTTTCTAGAAGTAACCTAACTCTCAATTTTACCCTGTACTGTCTGTTTTGGGAGATGTTATTTATTTAAAATAGTTTTGTTGTAAATAATAAATTAGATTATTTCAGTTACATTTTTACACAAAGCTAAATTCAGTGTGACCCTGGAGACCATGTTTACTAGGCCTGCGAGTTTTGTAATTTTTTTAATAAGTAGGCCTACTTTGAAACCGCACAGATTTGGTCTTAAATGCCCCGTTAAGATAGACAAGCTCCGCAGAGCCGTATTTAAATTTTTTAATCAGTGCTTTAAAAATAATGTAAAATAAATAGTCAACATTTGCTAAATATTTTATATGCATGTGTTTTTTTTTATATACATATACATACATGCATACATACACACACACACACACACACACACAGTTATATAGGCTACACGTACAATTATAGAAATATTTAGGAATGCAATTATAATTTGCGTGCTGGTATGCCGTTTTCACCATTATGCCGTTGTTGTTTTTTTAGAAAAGAGAAATAAGATTCGTTGTCTTATTATTATTATTATTATTATTATTAGGCTACATTAGGCTATTATTAGGCTATTTTCGAAAAAGGTTATAGAGAAATTCTTAGTTATTTTAAACCAATCAATTAGGTTGTCTATCGCTTATTAATACTTTCTCGTGTCGACACATGTTTAATTTACTTAGCATTTTTCGTACTTTCTTTTCCTAGTTAAGCATATCAACTGTTAATATTATTTGTGTTATTGCAATCGCATTTCAGTAACATAAATTGGGTCCGTCCTTCGTCAAACTGCAACATCGGGGGAAATCGAACTATTGGCAAGATCTGGGGGGACCCGTGACTGCCTCTAGCATGATGTCATACCTCAAACAGCCCCCCTACGCCATGAACGGCCTGGGGCTGAGCGGCGCAGCCATGGACCTGCTGCACCCGTCCGTCGGATACCCAGGTACACGTTTTACGTGCATTATAAACTGTTTAACACAGCGATATACGCGAGCATTATATGCGAGTATGAATCCCGTCTTTTTTTCCTTTCTTTAATTCCTAATTTTTTATTTTTATTTTTTTTTTTGTGATAAATTTATTAACTGTTTCAGGCACTTCAGTTAAGGGG